TGTACGATTTGGTATGAATCGTACAAGATCATATATGATCAGGCGCAGAATCTTGTCCGATCTTAGTGTCCGATTGTTCGCTCTGGGCCGTTCAAAAAGGGTTACGAACACCCAAACATATGACCGAAGTCTAGAATGACTGAGTGCGAAATATTCGTCACCCTGTATAATAGTTGTATCACTAATATAAGTTTTGCCGATTCATATTTTAGACAGATCTATATCTCTTACATTCGTGTGGATTAAGTTTGAGCAAGAGTGATTTTTATATTTGTAATGTTATCTGCTGAATCAATTAATATTTCATATTGTATTTTATTTGTTTTGTTAGTAGTAAAGTGTTTGAAATTATTCTAACTTAATCATTATGGCATCAACTTCAGCTAATGGAAGTAGTGAACAAACTTTACCTATAGTATTGTCATCAACAAAACAACTACGTTATTATGTTGGCTACAATCCTGTAAGTTACTCTCACTTTCTTTTTCTTCACTTTTTAAAGCAGCTTAGTATACTTCACCAAACGATAAGACGTTATTATTGATTAGAATATTTCGAATCGTCTCGATGTTTAATCTATTGAACATTTGAACAATGAGATAAACCAATACTTGTTCTATAAGCATAGTCATCTAGATAAATATATACCGTTATTGTGGAAAAGGAAATTTATCAATATTGTGTTAATTGATTTTAATGAAGAATGATAACTTTCAATCATTTTATTTTTCAGTTACAAACTTGGTCAGAATGGTTCGCGTTTATCGGTATGACTTCGACGCTTATCTTCCTGATGTTTTGGAGCTTGTATAAAGCTATCCAAGCTTTCGTAAGTATTATTCTGATATATCCATTTATTATTCAATTATCAGCTGTACACATTTATAAACTGAGTGAGAAGAGTCATAAGAAGTATTTTGAAAGTAATTTATAATCAAACTAGAAACGTTGTCTTAATTTCGAACAAATGAGATAATGTATATAAAACGTTAATTACCGTATTATAGAGCATTATCAGAGATTCAAAAAAGTTCGAATGCAGGAAAGTACCTAGAAAGAAAAAATATAAGAATAAGAAATTACGAGATGACTTCATCTTTTGAAAGCATATCATTTTTGTGGGGTATGATGTTATTTATTTCAGTTTGTTCCTCATCTAGAGTATCTCTTATCTTTAGTTACGTCTATTTCTTCGGTTTTCTGAATACGTGACAACATTCAAACACGTACAAATTTTAAACATTTATTTTTATTTTCAAGAGAATTTTTTAATATTCTCCAAAAAACGGTTTACGTATGAATTTGGTATCACTAAGTATGCACTTTGTAGAATACTTTATTGTACTATTAGTATGTTGAATACTTTAAGTTGTTATTATTCATTGATCGAATTTTTCTCCAATGTGATTGACTTTTTCTCATACGAATTATTCGCTTATTTAAAAAATCTACTCTAATAATTTTGGTTTGCTGGTAAAACTAATCATGCTACCCGTGGTCATTGAAAGAAATAGAACAAAAAAAGAATAAAAGTGTTTGTATGGTATTGAATTTCGGATAATTTTGTTGAATAGACATATTTATATAAGAAAATTTCAAAAATATTTTTAATATATCAACAGATCTTACCAAAGGATTAGTCTTACGCAGATGGTTATTTATTTCTACTAATCTTCTTAACAATGATCAGTTTCGGTGCATATGTGCTTCTCACAATATTTCCTTGTGGCATTCATTTTCGATTAATTATTGTCGACAAATTTACCGTACTTTTACACTCTACTTTGTCATATTGTCAAGTAAATAAAGATTTCATCCATATTTACCATGAGATCGAATAAACTTTTACATTTGGAGAAAGGTCATTTGAGAAAAGTTTTTTCCAAAAAAAATGGAGTAACTTTTTATCATAAAAAAAACTTTCTTCTTAGTAGCAAAAGCGTATTTACTGCTATCTATTTCAATAGCTTGAGAATCAAAATGATTTGATTCAATTGAGGTAGAGTAAATCTTCTTCTGTAACCACAATCCATAATGTACATTGTTATAAAGGTCAAATGTTTCGTAGGTTAACATATAGGCATAGAGATTTTGCAGAGATTTTGGATGAGAAAAAAAATCTAGTAGTACGAATTTTAGTAGATAAGTAGCGTTCAGTTTCCGTCTGAATACATAATTCTTATCTTAAACAATGTTCATCTGCAATCTGTGGTTTTTTTTTTAATATTCTAATAATCATTGATTAAACAGATCAATTGTCTATACTGTTATTTTTCTATCTTATAGGAACAGTATTATTTAATTATGACAAATATATTCAATTTACTTTCTAAATTGTCAATGAAACTCAAATTTACTTATCGTTCATCTGTTGATTTCAATGAATCGAATAATACAATTGTCTAAAAATTCTCATTATGATGTTAGCTCTAGTGTATTTATATATATTGTACATATTCGTTGATCCTAGAAAGTCAATTAAAAATTTCTTAGAAAGAAAATTTTGAAATTCTTTATTTCTGATAAATTGTTAATATTTCCATGCATAAATCATGAACTAAACACACACTGTATAGTTTTTTTTTTCTGTTCAAGTTTGTTTGATATGAAATCAATAAAATTAACGTTGTTTATTCGATAGAAAGTATAGTTCTTGAATATTTGTGTTGATTTTGAAAGGAAATATTGTCGTAACATGA